TTAAGGGGGGGGGGTGGGGGAAAAGGAAAAAAAATTGGGGGGGGGGGGGGGGTTTAAACAAGCCCGGCGGGTCACTTACTGTTGCGACATTCTTGTCAATCATAATCACCGCAAAGTTTTTGTTTTTTCCCCCCCGGGCAAAAAGGGGGGGCCCCCCCCCCCCCCCCCCCCATACACCACAGTTGTAAACTCCTCTGTCTTTGGTGTAAATGTCCTCAGCGCTGTCGTTACCGTGGCCAATCCAGCGAGACTTGCGCTACACTCGACGTGTTATAGGTGGTGGCCATGGGCGTCACTGGTTCGGTTTTGTTGGTTTGGGGCTTGCCGGGTTGTCCTCCACGGGAGAGGCGAAACCAACAAAACCACCGATGATGACCTTAAACAACAATGTGATTGTTTTCTAGGCCGGACGTCGGGTGATCGGTTTGGGCAGTTGGTCTATTTATAGTGTGCACTGAAGCCGCGAGAAACTGATCCGATGGGCCCCGCCTATTATATATCGCAATAGACTGTGGCCAATCAGGCGAGACACACCACACTCGACGTGCAAATCGCAGTAGACCGTGGTCCACCGGGCGGGATTTACAGTAGAGCGCCGTAGCGTGCTAGACCTTCAAATAAAAAGGCTAAATCAGCACCTGGACATGGATGGCTGGTGCCTCTATAAATAAATCATTGATGGTCTGGACCTTCAAATAAACCAGGCATAGGTGATTGTCTTATACAGGTAGTTGTCTTATACAGGAGATTTGTCTTATATCTAATAGGTGGTTGTCTTATACATGAGATTGTCTTATATAGGTGGTTGTCTTTTACAGGTGATTGTCTTATATAAAGTGGCGTTAGAGCAGATACATTGTGCTTGTATGGAACACCAAGTCAACACATTGAACACTTCCCGACAATCTGGGGACGAGAGTAAATTGAAGCTTTTTTTTTCCATGTCTGATACAAAGATAATAAAGACCAACGACCTCATTAAGGGCTTTTGTTGGTCAAAATGTTTCAAAAAATTTAAAGTAAACATCTTTCCCTCCGTAAGTGCTTATGTGGGGTTGGATAATTTTATGACCTTTCACGACTGTTTTGTCAGGGGGGGGGGGGGTTACCCAACATGTAAGGACTTAGAGTGTAACAGCCAAACGAGGACTGCGTGTACAATTCATATATCAGAACTTGAGAGTGTATAGCATCAAATGAGGACTTAATGTTAGGTCTTGTTAACCTATGTGCGAAATACAAACAAAGACTTAAAATAGTGTAGATTTAATTTATATCCGTACATCGTGTTTTACTTTCGTATCCATACGACGTGGGGAACTCTATTCTATGCCACCACTTTCCAAAGAGGAAATTTACTCGTTAATCCGATCCGTACGTTTGGCATAGCAGTCTGTCAAAAATGATTTTTTGAGAAATACTCAAAGTTTCAAATAGGTCTTCGTACTAGAAGTATTCTAAAATGTGAAGAATACCCCGGGAGTACAAAATGACCCCAGGGCGTACGGATAGGGTTATGTGTAAGGTCTCGTTTTTAAGAGTTTTTAAAAAAGACAAATTTGGATTTGAAAGCAACAGTAAACCGTACCAAGCTGATGTCTGTCATCATCATAGACCCCGTTTGTCGGTGTCAAGAAAAAATCGCAAGACGAAGGCCTTTTTCCAGTGAGTAAAGAACAAAATAAGATATGGAAGTGTCCAATGAAAAGCTGCCAGGTGGGGTATGTGTAAGACTGCATTCGTATACTATCGCCAAAGATCATACACAGTTTAAAATCTGCAATTGCTACACATGTGGAAGGGCGGATTGTTGGTTTTTCTTTGGGGTTTTGTTTTGTTGTTTGTTTTGTTTTGTTGTTTTTTTTGTACCGTATGGCATATTGCTTTCAGGGAACAAATTACCTTCGGTCACATTTGAAATAATACAAATTCTTAGGATTCTGGGTTCTTTACTAACGAAAATACTTTCACTGTTTGATTTTGAAGTCAACATATAACCCGTTTTCGCTGGGCAGAAATGCAGCTGAAGAATCCACTATCAATTAGCTTGCATGTGCCTAGTTTAAATTTTGCTCGTTTCCTATCAAACATCAATCATTCTTATCTCCCCTTTTTCTTTTTTGTGTTTGCTACTCTCTATAACGCTCTAATCTTCGGCACGCATATGACTTTACAGTATATAATTTTACAAATGCCGTAAAACTGTTAATAAAACAAAATCTGCGAGTGATAAAAAACAGGGATTCCGTGTGCTTTATTTGATTATGTTAGTAAAGAGAAGCGCACCCATAATGGTCGTTTAGCGCACGAAGAGAAAAAAAAATCTATGGTAGGTGTTTTAAGCCCACATCGCAACAATTTTAGATTATTTAGGAGGCCAGCTTCCGACCCTGCTTGTCATAGTACAGTATACATGACCGAGATGCTTGACAAAAAAATTAATTTCTCCGGACAAGAGTCGATCTCCTGCTTGCGACTGCGATATCAAAGCACCTCACCGCTTCACCACAGACGCCGGTAGAGCAAGACACGATAAAGACAGAAACAACAGAGGGAAAGAAAAGAAGTAGGATCTACCAGTGGCGCCCTCAAACCAGTTGAACCACCCACCCACGCCCCACGTGCACTCTTATTTTGAGACCAGCACAAACCAGTCACTAGGACAAAATTCTAAATCAATTCCAACTCAAAAGTAAAATAAAAGCCCCTCTCTCTGGACAGAAGGGCTATAACCAAAGATCGTGTATTTAGAATCAAAGTTTGGTCTCCATGAGATTTCTTTGATGTATCTTCTTCGGAAGCGAGTTTATTTTTACTTTCATTAACTGTACAATTCGCCCAGCACGACAACAAGGATCCAAGAAATTATGATGTGAATTTGGTCGAATCATTGCAGTCAGAATCAAACTTTCATGTAAGAAATGTAACAAACTGACAAGATTAATATAAAAAAAAACGCTCCCTCTCGAGAGAGGTAATATGGCTTTCTTTACACAGCACCAGTCGTCGTATTTCAGAGACCCAGATGATGGGGAAACAACTAGTTGTTGTTTGATATCACTAAAAAGAGACAAGGACAATTTAAATCTGCCAGACATTGTTATAAAAGATCGTAGCATCAAGGCTTAAAGAAATTGTAAAGCAAGACTGCAGGTGTGTCACCACAATACATTCACTTCTTAAGTTGGACAAAGAAATTTACTCTCACAGCACATTGTCATTATTTATCTGGTAATTCTGTAATTAATATGATGTTGACCAGGGACAACGTACTAGACTAACAACGGCACTATAACCATCGTTGCGATATATGAAATGACTGGACAGCAAACTCACGAGTTCGATCGGTGAACATCTTGCCGCTTAAAACCAGTAAATAATTTTCCTCGTTTTTGTTTGTTGATTTTCAGATTTCTTTTTTTCCTTTTCATCCACCCACCCACCCCCAACACTTTCCCCCTTTTTTCGTTCTTTTTGTTTTTATTTGTGTGTTGATTTTTGTTATCTCTAAACAATCTTAACAATTCTCATTCCCTAGATTAATATTTTAGCTTGTACCATTCGGCACCTCCTCTTCTCCTCCCTAAACCAAGTTGTACACACACACACACACACACACACACACACACACACACACACACACACACATACACACACACACACACACACACACACACACACACAAAGCAGTCGGCGATGACACCAACGTCGTGTCGCCTAGTGACGCAGCCTATGACGCTCTAAGCAGCAAAGCGGGCCCGCAACAGCGCGAACAAAAGCCCAAGTAGGAGGTGGAATATCTGGGTGGAAAAGAATCTTTGCTATCACTATCAGGGAGATACTGGGCTTAAAATCCTAAGGGCCCCCACACAAATCATAAAGGGATGTTGCTCAAAGCCTCCGAAATGATAGGGAATCCCTGCTTTAATTCTAGTGCATATTAACAAGTTTTACACGGCACTTGCAACACAGTAGATCATAAAAAGTGCCGAAGATTAGGTGCTGTCACAAGATTTTTGTAGTTCACTGTAAGGGTTTTACGGCACTTGCAACACAAATAATTCTTAAAAAGTGCCGGAGATTTAGAAGTGTTGCAAGAGAATAATACATGCACCTATATATTTATTATATATCTTAAAAAAGAAAAGAAGGAGAGATGAGATAAAGACGATAGATGTTTGATAGTTCGATAAGAAAGAAAGCAAACCCCACCAGAGCACCTGCCAACCACCCATGAACCCTAGCAGGGGATTATAGAAGAAGGAAACGCTACCAAATTTGGGGTCCAACTAAAAAAAATCGATAAAAAAAGTAACCGTTTTTAAGCCACACAACATAATCTCAGACCGTTCAGGAGGACTTCAACCCAGCCTGTCAGGGCAACCCGGGCTGTGAGGATTACAACATCACAGACAGAAGACAGAGATACTCCATTAACATTTTCACCACACGAGAATCATACTCAGGAGATCTGCAAGCAAAGACGAGCGTCTAACCGCTGCACCACAGACGCTAGTTAACAAATCCCGGTTTTGTTTGTTTTAGTAAGAAGTTCACAGTACTTGCGTCTTGAAGATGTATCAGTTTGCTTTTTCAGTAAGGTTTTACGGCGCTCGCAACAGCAGAAGGTCATATGAGTGCCAAGGGGTGGATATCAACAGAGAAGTTCAAACGTGGAATCAGGCTCACCTCTCTAGCCTACACAGCACAACGTCTGCTTCGCCTATAAATGTACCCCGGAAATAGTAGTTCACAAGAGAGTGACAAACATTTAAAAAAGTAGAGGAACATGACGATAGTAAGGAAGAGGAAAGAAAAAGCAGCAGTTGAGGATGTGTTGTGCAAAAAGGTTAGAGGTGGTACGAGAGAGTAGCATAAAGAAAAAGATGAGCAGTGATAATAACTGATAAGGACGATGGATGTTTGAAAGGAAAGATGAAGCAAACCACAGCACAGCACACGTCAACAATCCAACATTTCAGCCATAAACAATCATCATATGTGAAACAATTTCAAAGAATAAGCAATACGTCTTGAAGTTAATTCTGAATTTTTGTGTTTTATTTCGTCACTTCCAGTCATACAGGGAGAAAAAATATACTTGAGCACACCAGAGAACAAAATTTTAGTACATGCAATAGTAATGCTGTACAAACTCAAGGAAAGATTCCATTCAACAAGATCTCCTACAAAAGCAACAACCAAAGACAAGACAGACACACCAAAAAAAATCGCAGAAGAGGAAAAATAAAGTCCAAGAATAAACACACACACACACACACACACACACACTCACACCCATTTACTTCCTCCCCCCCCCCCCCATATTAAGAAAAAACAACAACAAAAACCCCACGCACTAACACAAAACACAAGCACAAACATGTACACACACACGCACGCACACACACGCATACGCACACGCATGCGAACACCCATACACACACACACACACACACACACACACTCTCTCTCTCTTTCTCTCCCTCTCTCTCTCTCCCTCATTCTCTCTCACCCTTTCCTCCATCCACATCTAGAATATAACTATAATAATACAAAGTATGCACAAACAGACTCACAGTCACATGCCTAATGATATAAATGAACAATAATTGTAAACATGAATAGTATTAAGCTTGATAAGTAGTACTAGTACTCAGTACTCTGATTATAACTCAATGGTATTCTGCGCATTCTAAAGGTTATAGGAATACTTATTGTGTAACAAGATGATTAAGATGGTAGAGTTTAATGGATGATGGTAAGAATGACCTTCTGTATCTTTCTTTGTTACAGATCAGAAGCTTGGTACGAGGGGCATGCAAAACGTTTTTTACCTGACTATGAAGGAATAAAGGTACAAATCTGAAATTTGGGGTGAGAGCCAACAATGATCTTCCTAGAAAGCATGTAAATTTGGGGACATTTCCAGCACACAATAAGTGAAAGGGGGTATGTTGTACTCCAGTTTCAACAGATTCAATTTTTCTTTATCTTGTTGTCTTGTGTTCCCAACCCATGCAGTCACATAGAACTTGATCATCATCATCATCTGGTGCCTTGCCGACTGGCGTGGGCGATCATGGACCTCCACTTCACTCTGTCTTGCGTTGCAGCAATGGTGTCTGTTGTTCTTGCTGCTCCAAGCCATGTTGTCATCTTGTCCAGTATCTTTTCCCTCTGTCTGCCTCTGCCTCTCTTTCCATTAAACTTGCCTGTTGTTACAATATTCTCCAATGCTTCTTTCCGCATTGTGTGTCTGAAGAAATGTGCCTGTCGCTTTCTTATATTCGTCATAAGCTGTCTTCCATAATTTGCTTCAACCAAGACTTCATTTGTTTTTCTAGCTCTCCATGGGATACGTAGCATGCGTCTTACGAACCACAACTCTGTCGCCACAATTGTTCTTTCCAGCTGTTTATTGATTGTCCACGCTTCGCATCCGTATAATAGGATTGGCTCAATGTAACTTTTCAGTACTCTTTTTCTCGTTTCCAGAGACTTAAGCCCACGTTGTCACTCTCTTGTACGATGACATTTAATAGATTCTGCAGGTGTTCTTCATCTTTTGCTATTAGGACTGTGTCATCTGCATAACTTGATCATACTTTCTATTAAATTTGGGAAAGAAAATGATTGTCGAAGAAGAGAATCTATTTTTGCAACATAAGATGATCAACGCCATTGCTTTCTTACCGTTAGGCTCATTCAATCACTGCTAGTGTATTGTTACTCCACTTACAACAAAACAAACAGAAGAAACAGAGAAACCCCAATTATATATATATATATTTGAAAAATACATTGGATGCATAAACAGGATCACTGAAATAAATGACTTACAGTCAATAAACTAGGGTCAGTTTAGTTTTAGTAAGCGTTTTATGGCGCTTGCAACACAATAAGGTCATATAAGGGCTGAAGATTAGAGGTGTTACAATAGAGAAACAAACATCAAAAAGAAGGAGGAGAGATAAAGACGACAGTTGTTTGATAGGAAAGAAGGAGCAAACCACACCAAAGCACCCGCCAACCACCCACAAACCAGGGTTGGGTTGATTTAAATCAGGTTGATTTAAATCAGTTGATTTTTTAAATTTAAATCAACTTGATTTTTAAAATAAAAATCAGTGATTTAAATCACTTTTTTAAAAACTTATTTTTATTCAGTTTTTACACATTTCAACATTCAGAATTCCTTTCCTTGGTTTCATAAAACAGATATAGTGTTTGAGCGCTTAATCGGCTGCTCGCACTGTATGTTTCCCGGGAAGCTGAGAATGTTTCGGAGTGTTCTATGGTCTGCTGGGGTAATAATATAGTGTAAAGCGCATAGAGCCTGCTGTTGAGCGGGGATATGCGCTATAAAAATGCTATCTATTATTATTATTATATAAGGTTTAGTAGACTAATATAATCATGCTTAAAAGTCTGCTTTTCCCCCCTTTCACTGTAAAATAATACAGTATTCAATTTACTTTTT